ATAAACGTTGAAGCCACGCCTTAGAAACGTCGAAAATCTGCCTAGAAACGTCATCGTACAACTGTTAAAACTAACGCGACAACTATTCGCATTAAACGGTCTACCTGAATCCGCAGTATTATCACAACCAATCGGTAAATGAAGCCTGAAGCCAAAAGAGGCGTTTTTCCATTCGAGTGAACAAAGATATTTTAAAAATTTCAGTCCATTTCGACTCTCAGATGATTGGTACCACCGTTGTTGCTGCTGTTGTTTTTGTGATCATCGTAACAGTGGCATGTTTTATTTTCATTCGTCGAAGACGACGTCGAAAAGAAGGTGAGATGAAGTTCTAATTTGTTCGAATTGAAAGATCAGAAAGAACATTGGTGTAATTGTTCTAACCTGTCATTCATTCCTTTGTTCTAAACTGCTCTCATTGAATATATTTAGTCGCTTTACACTTTATTCACTCATTTATTTACCCCTTTTTTAAATAACAATTTTTATAATTCCAGTGGCAGTGATAATTTTGTGACATTGCGAACAGAAACGATGAAGCCAACTTCTACTGAAATTACAGATTTACATGTTCAAATATGTTTCTCTACTCTCTCTTTATTACGCCCGTTTGGATTTTTCATCGCAACATTTTCACGGTTCAAAACAGCTGGAAGACAACAATACTTCAGAAGAAGAACAAGAGCCTGGCACTAGTGCTGAGTATGAAAACGTGCCAAGTGAATCGAAGCCAGTTCCAGGCCTCACGCGTGGTGTGGTGCGCTACCAAAGAGATTACATGACCACAAGACCCGCGCGAAATTTATGGTATGACAGACTTCAGTTAATTCGAGCATTTGCTATGGAGTGGCTTCGAAACGCTTGGGGAAATGTTGACGAGTTGGGCCGCCATGTTTATGACGTCATGGAACGCGTACGACATGTTTTTGTCCCACACAACAAGTTGGGCAATCTACAACAAGGTAACTCGACCGGAAGTGGATTGGAGAGGAATAATACTTATAGTACAATGGTTATATTGCCAGCAGCAGCAGTTATATTGCCCACAGAAAGTGAGAATGCGTCGACGACAGAAAATGTTTGATCTATCAGACTATGGAAGTATAGAACCTTGGTCCATCTCTCCGTAGAAACTTACCTTTTTTTTCATTAATTTTTATGATTGACTGTAGTGCTATAGGGCAAACTAGGAAAATTATTGCGTGAATTACCTAAACCCCTCAATGGGCGATTGTTTTTTCAACATAGTTGAAAACTATAACTTTCTGGCTAGGATAGTCACATAGGATTGTGTGTATAAGACAATGTTAACACATAAGTAAAATTTATAGTTCATAATTTCTGTTAAAGTTAATAATTTCAGTAATAAAATGGGGGAACTTACCCCTAGGCTAAAATATCCAAAAATTGTCGTGAGTCTGCGAAACGAACTGCGGAAATGCAACATCCAACGGAAGATGTCGAAGTTTAGTTATACATGACGGCAGACATGAAAGTGGTAATTCACGCTTCACGAAAATAACTAAATGCCGGTTAAAATAATCTTCACTGTAAAATGACCGGCGAAATTTTGACAAAGTTTTTTTGCAAAGTTAGATAATGCACTCACCGTGACTCAAAATTACTCGATTTTTGGAGTAAAAATTTGCTTTATTCAAGAAAATGAGTAAATTTGCTGAGAAATTAGTCGATGAGTAATTTTATACTCAATATGTTGACTCACTTTGGTTCCATTATTTTACTGACGTTTTTAATTCAAATTTTTTTGCAGTGTAATTATGATCATTTTTTTAGATTCCGTCCACAAATTAAGGACCGGATGAGAATTCCTCGTGTGAATAAGTGGAACCTGACGAATCTGTGTACGGTTTCAAAGTTGTTCGATGGATCCGGTGTGAAGGAAGGCTGAAGAATGAACTTTTTTACATTTTTCTTTCCACATTTGAAAGTTTGACTTCTTCCCCAAGCAGGGAATATACAAGGAAGTGTCACAGTGCGGGAAGTCTAGATCATAGTCTTTGAATTCCGTTATTTCAATAATTATCACTCAAATGAATTATATATTATCATTATATGTGCTTGGGTGCTTTCCACGAATACAAGTCTGATCAAGGAAGTCGTTTTATGTTTTTACGCGGAAGTATTAATAACCCTTACATCAGTTGAAATATAATTCAGTTGTAACAGTGGCGAAGCTGAGGGAATTCGACTAGTCATGCTCTAAGACCCGCACAGGCTAGGGGGGTCCGGGGGCATGCACCCCCGGGAAAATTTTGATTTTCGAAGTCTGGAATGGCCATTTCCTGCGATTTCAGGGTGAAATTCATGCAAAGAAAGCTACAAAAAAGTGTGATATAAAGAGGAAAATTCTTAATACTTTTTGTTTTTGAAATTTGTATTTCCACAAAATTTAATTTTATTTCACTATATATTTAAACTTATCTGCAAATGACGCTCAATATAGCCAATATTGGCAGAAGAAAGAGGATAATATTGTATGTGTACATTTTAATACCCTGCTGAGTGCTGTAATATGATCTTTCATTTGGAATTGCGTAAAGGTCAACTGTAATGTACAGTGTCTACAAGGACCTTGTAAATCTGAAGCAGAAACCTAATGTTGAAAGATACTTTTAGATATTTGGTATATCTGTAAACCTCAAAATATATAAGCACTCGTGAATAAAGCAAATGAACTGGTAGTAAATATATTTATATCAATAGGAAAGGCCTTCACAAATCTTGTTTATTTTCGCCATTATAATACAGTAGAATACACAATCGAGTCTGTTCACATGCATTTCGTGAGCTAAAATATCTTGTTAGAAGCCAGAAGGCCTTCCTACTATTCACTCGATTGACGTTGGTCAATTTCCATAGATACATAACCAAGATCACTTGAATAAATCTCGATAGAATTGCTGAATAATTTACGGCATTTAACTTGGTCGTGCTTTCGAAGATAAGCACGACCAGAAGATAAAATTCGGCGAGATACGCATGCGCGAGGAGCAATTTAGCCAATAGAATGCGTTGGAATTGATAATTTAGTCGTGCTGGCCTGACGAGAGCACGACTAACGGGCGGATTACCCATTAGTCGTGCTATTAACCTGCGGTCGGGTGAAACTACGCAATCATACCTTGAATTGGTTTAAAATCATGGCAAAATCACCGGATTTGAAGGGATTTTGCACTTAATAGATGACGCAAGTGTACGACGAATCATTTTTAAAATTTTGGGGGAATTTTTTTTTAAGACTAAAAAATTATTTTCTTTGAAAAAATTTTACTCGTGCTCAGCACGACTAGCACGACCTCTAGCTTCGCCACTGAGTTGTAAGCAACTTGACACCAAAAAGGTTGTCGAAATTTTGAGCTGGGCAAACATTGCAACCATCGATTGAGCATTAACAATTTTGTACGCATAAGTCACGATGGGGGTAGTTTGTTTTAATAATGGCGGTGGTATTATACTGATTTTAGCAATGATTATCATCACAAATGTTGCAGGTAAAGTCTGGTAGTTTTATTTCTCATTTGCAACTGCGCATTAGATTGTGCTAGGATTACAAAATTGTAGAATGTACCCAAGACGGACAGACGAGCAGACCTGTTTCGAGGCCAAGAATTAGCCTGAATTCAGAGTCTGCTGTGCTTGGGTGGTGCATTATAATAGTTTCTAGAACAAGCGGCTTTCACCTCTTACGCGCTTCGGACTTTTGTGCGCATCCTCTCCAAATGGCACGTACAACTCCTTGCAAAGTGCTTAAATTGAAAAGCCAATTTCAAAGGCGCTTGCATGAAAACACCAAATTTGTTACAAGTACTTGAAACTAGCTCGAAAATCATTCGTGAGATTGCATTGCAGCGCACAAAATGATACACGTTCGATTTCTTCTTTTTTCCCAGCAACCCCGTTCCATTGTTGGCTCCAAAGAAAATCCGACGTGCAACCTAAGCTTTTACTAATTTAATGTTTTCCTCACACTAACAGGTGAACATCATCTCCAAGACAAAAACAGGTACTATTTCTGTTTACTCTTTCCATTTAATATTTCTTCCAAATTGCTGTAAAATTGCATGCCAATGTACATGAAATGGTGGAAAACAATGAAGACACATATTCCCACAAGCTAGACATTCGATTCTAACCAAACTCGCTGGAAAACACAGAGTTTATAGTTTAAAATCAAATGTTTAACCTGAATCGCTTTTCTGATAGACAACGCATTATGCCCCGTAGAGACGAGCAAGATTTCCTTAACGAATTTTCTTGCTCGTATAAACAATGAACACGTTTTTTTTCGATCAATTTTTCCTTAACAAGTTTTATGAGCCTGCGCTATTTGAATACCCAAACAATTTCATAATTAATTAGGTAAATACTTCGTGTAAGACCCCCAAAACAGTTTCAGCAAATTATAAGCCGTGATCATAAAAGTTAAAGTCCAATCCATATAGTCCTATCCCTAACCATGATCCTAACCCTAGTTTTAACACCATATGACTGTTTCAACCTACTTTTAATTACCTCTATCATAACTGTTACGTGTTCCTTGCACGAAGTAGTTACTATAATTTTTGTTCAAAGCTATTTTCAATTAAGTTATAAACAACTGAAACCAACTTTAAAAGTGAATTTCAAAATAATTTACCATAATTTACAATTACAAAATACTTACTGTAAAAGATGAGGGTCAAACGCATGTCAAGTAACAGATTTCGTATTAAATACAGTCCATTATATACTGTAATTTACGATTATACACAATAGTTACTGTAAAAAATAACAGTGTACATTATTCGGAAAAAAATTGCCAGGGGCGCCTGGTTATTTAACCTGCACCTAACATAGTCTGATTATTTTAATAAGAACGTCCTGGTCAAATACAGGGTGTTTCGGAAATGGAAATTGAACAGGCTGTCGTGCATCGTAAACTTTGTTAAACAATTCAAGTTTTACATAGGACGAAAGAGCTGTTATTTAGCTTTTCTATTTTTCTATGATACCTTTTTTGAATCGCAATGATGAGAAATGGCCACATACTCGTCGAATAAAAATTGCCGGTCGAAATCACATTCTTTCACCGATGGGAATTGAAAATACATTAATTATGCTAAGTTAATGAATACAAAAGCAACTCGAGTCTGCTGCAAGCTATTTGTTTCGTAAAACTTTTGATTACGAATGTTCTCTGTTCAATGGTTAGTTGAATTATGTTTAATGGACGTTTTTCTTGTCTCACTAAGACCAAGATTGACGATTTGAGCTCATTGTAGATAATTTAACATTCAATTTTAATTCCTTTGAGCTCATTGTAGATAATTTCGTTTTCCATGCAATTCCCAACAGTGGAAGAATGTGATTTCGAGCGGCAATTTTTATTTGACGAGCATGTCGCCATTTCTCATCGTTACGATTAAAAAAGAGTATCATTGAAAAGCTTAATAACTGTTGTTTAGTCCCATGTAAAAATTGAATTGTTTAGCCGCGTTTATGATGCACGACAGCCTGTTTAATTTCTATTGCGTTTTTTTAGACACCCTGTATAACCAGATTTCTAGATCTGGTTAAATCAACCAGGCTATGGTACAAAATGAAATGAAATAACCAGAAAATTTAATTTTAACTAGAGTGCTTTCAGAGTGTACTTTTCGGATGATCCTGGATCTACAGCTTTTTTAAGCAACATCCTTCTCTCTTTAGTTCATGTATACCAGCAGAAGATGAACCTGTGTATACCACACAGCGTGACTGTCGTCCTTTAATCAAACTGGACAACCCATTTTGTGAACATTACGGATTCAATCTTGATAAATACGTCGTGGTGGCGGTGAATGACCAACAGGTTTTCAATAACAGATTGTGGGAGTTACAAGAACAATTTATTAACGGGCAAAATATTTCAACATCACGCAAATGCACTGACCAATTTCGTTTCCCTGTCTGCTACTATGCATTTCCAGGCTGCGATCGCAGCACGAGTGTACTTAAACCAAAGAAAATTTGTAAGGAATCGTGTCTCCATTTTACAAAGGAATGCAGTGCGTTTGTGAGGATGTGGAACGATGTTTTTCAACCTCTAATGTCGCCAGGGAAACCAAGTGGTGAATTGTTCAGTTGTGTGGAAAAACCATCAAGAAATGCCGGAAACACTCCTGAGTGTATGTATTATGATAGGAAAGAAAGTTTGGAAAAGGAAAGTAAGTTTGATCGGTCTGTTGGTCGTTCGCATATCCGGCGCGCTGTCGGGTAGGCGTTTGGTCGGACGGCCAGGCGTTTGGTGTGACGGGCAGGCGTTTGTTCCGACGGTCAGAGGGTTGGTCTGTCAGTTTTCATAATGGTGATCCATCAGTAATTGTTCTGGAAATAAGAATTGATACGCCCATAGTAAAAACAGAAAAAAACGTTGGAGTCACCGAACTCATTCAGAAGATATGACAAGTTCAATATGCCACGTTTTCCCCCAATGATATGGCGCCATCTTGACCCTTTTGCGGTTACAGGAACAATCGCAATTGCGCAACAGTTATTGAATTTTTTAACGAGGATCCTATTGTGATTATATGCAAGAAAACATGGTATTTTAGCGAATCAAAAACCATTGTCGTTGTGCAAACATGTTTTCCCATCTTCCCACACATGTTATGTCGGGAAGTATGCGCGAAAAACATAAAATATTATAAGTGTAGAAATTATTTTTTTCTTTATTTCTGACATAATATGTGGAACGTATAGAGAAACAAAAATATAAAATATAAAAGTGTAGTCACGGGCCTTTTTAAAGAGATACAAGGGTTAAACGTACAACATGATGTGGTTTAGAATGTTGGTTGAACGGAGCCCTAGCCAGAGTTTCCTGAAGCACGCCTAATCAATGCAGAGTGTTTTTCTCTTTGCCCTTACTCTTTCTTTATCACTTCACATCGCAGTTCGACTACATATATTAGCTAGAATTTGTTAGTAGATATGCGCAGTAAACGTGCGCAATGCAAAACTGATGAATCAACTTAAGTCAGCCAGTGATTCGGTCGGTCAGTGAGCCAATCATCGGTTGGTTAGTAGATCGGTCAGTCATTAGTCAGTTAATCTGTCTGTCAGCATGATTACTATTTTTTCTTGTAGATTGTCTTTACTTAAACGGCAGCAGTTACCATGGCAACATTTCAGTGACATCCTCAGGTATTCCGTGTCAATCATGGACAGAGCAATGTCCACATCGTCATACCATGAACAAAACATATCCAGAATTGAATAACGCTAAGAATTATTGTCGAAACCCTCAGAACTCTGGACAACGACCTTGGTGTTTTACCACAGATAGGAACAAGAGATGGGAGTACTGTGATATCCCTAAATGTATACCAGGTATAGCATAATATTGTACTATGATCTCCCTAAATGTATACCATCTTTACATGTCTGAGAGGAACGATAAACAGGTAATGCCGTGTGTGACCCAACACATCTTTTTCTTTGCTACAGTTGATGGTAGTTATGGTAACTGGTCATTAAACAGTTCATGTTCTGTAACTTGTGGTGAAGGTTTTGTAACATGGTCACGAGAATGTGACAATCCTGAGCCAAAGTATGGTGGAAGAAACTGCAATCATTTAGGAGAACCTGTTGAGTACAAGCCATGTACTAAGAAACCTTGCCCTGGTAAATACACTCTCGATCTCTTTACCGTTAACCTTCGAATAAAGACCAAGAAATATAAGCCCAAGGCTTTATATTAACAACGTAACTAAAGTAATCGTTCTTATTTCTATTGATGGAGGATAGCTCTACCAGGTTTAAGCTGCTCTCTTGGGGGGAAATTGAATGTAGTATATCATTCTTCTTAATGTTTAATTTCACAGTTAACGGTGGCTACAGTAGCTGGAATTTAAGCAGTCAATGTAACGTTACATGTGGACAAGGTAAAGAAATATTGCGACGTTCATGTAACAATCCTACTCCGAAGAATGGAGGTCGAAATTGTACTGTGTTGGGAAAGGATGTTGAATATCGAATTTGTAAAAAACAACTTTGTCCAGGTATGTTTCTTTATGTCTTCTTTTCTTCTCATCCTTTTCTTCCCTTCTGTTTGTCGTTTTATTATTGAATGCATCCATGCCATCTTGACTGAATCTTTCTCTACACTTTGTCGTCCTGCTGTTGATTGTCTTCATTCTACCTTGACTTAGTCTTTCTCTACATGCTATCCTGGTAACCTCTGCTCTTAGGTAGTATCTTCAGATCTCTTTCCACAGTATCTCTTTATCTCATCCTTGCTCTCCTAGCTGTTGTCCTCTTAGTATTGAATGTCTCAATGCTACCTTAACTAGATGTTTATGTACACTCTGGCCTGGGCATCACCCTAGATAGTACCTTCACATCTCTTTCCACAGTATCTCCCCATCTCGTCCTTTCGCTTGATGTCTTCGGACTTGACTAGATCTTCCTATAGGAGAACATATTCTATAGGAGAAGATTTTCCATACGAGAAGATATTCTGTAGGAGATATTCCAATATGGCAACAACGCCAAATGTCGTCTGTTTCCGAAGGAAATTGCAAGCATACACATCAACATTCTGAATTTCTGTTCTATCCAGCTACATTCTTCTCTCTTCTGTAAAGTCAAAGTTTTTTAGCCAAACATTGTAACTAACGTTTAAAGCATAAGCAGCCATGTCCTGCACTTGATAGGAAGATTGGCAAGCGGCAACGTAACGGTTTTATTTTTGTATGCAAGCCAAAGCATATGTTATACTAAAGTTTACTTGCCTTCTAAATGTACTTGTTTTTCTTCACAAACAACCATGAAGTAGCAACAGTCAGTCAATTCACATAAAACACCCGGCCCCACAAGACTTGGAAAGTTTTAACTGTCGGCGTGGTTATAAGCCGTGAAAATGATGTAAATAACGTAGCAGTTTGAACAACTATGGCGTACTAGAATGCTGAAGGAAATACAATTCTTTGTATTTAGAGTAAAATTCTATTGTTGATGATTAAACCAAAGGGGTTGAAGTACGAACCAGGGGGGGGGGGTGATTATATATTAAATACAAAATGTACTATGGTAACCTTTTTCCTCCTCATTAACTTGCATGTGTAAGTGAGAGTTTTAATCTTCAAATCATTTCAGTTGATGGTAATTATAGCAACTGGACTACATCGTCAGTATGCAGTGTGACGTGTGGTGTGGGGTACCAGATGTGGTTCCGGACATGTGATAATCCACCTCCCAAATATGGTGGAGAAGACTGTTCAAAATATGGTAAAGACAGAGACAGTAGGCCTTGCCACACGGAGCCTTGTCCAAGTTAGTCATTGAATTGTTTCAGTTGTTTAGCTAGGGTCATCTATTATCACCAACATTTTCACCAGACCTGAAAAAGATCTCGGGAACACTTGCCTTAGCAAGAAAATTGAGGAATATTTTCAATTTTCCACACATACGTTATGGACGAATCTCAAGGAATCATTTTATCATATTTCTTCTCTTTCATATGAGATTGTGAAGTATTGTTTAACGCTAAAATTTTTGTAATGTACAGTCAAATTTTCCGTTCTTTTTACGCACTTTTGAGGAACATTTGAGAAAGGAAAATTCAGGATCCGAGGAACGTTAAACACTTTTTCCAGGTCTGATTTTCACAAGCGTACAAAGAGTTTCTCGACCTCCCTCCAAAACGTTTTGAATGTCGAACCTCAGAAATGATGAATCATGGGTCTCAAGTTTAGCAAAATATATAGTGTATGTTGGTCATTAACCAGCTCCTCCACTTACCACTACCAACATCACCACCATCATCATCCTCAGCATCATCACCACCACTATCATCACCACCACCAGCATAACCACTGTCATCATCACCACCATTACTACCATCACCACCACTACCATCACCACCACCAAACCTTTTGTTTGTACTCTTCGTTCAGAGGCTCGACGAAAAAAACCTAGAGCACAGAAGGAGCCAATCAAACTCTACTTACATGAATTTTCAAGCCCAAAGCTTAACTCACAACATCTCTATTCTAGCAACGTCAGCTTCTACTAAAGCGATAAAAATCACATGTGGTGTTTGTGTTTTGATCATCATAATGGTTATTGGTTTAATTCTTGTTCGTAAACGTAAAGTCTGGATTGAGCGATATCACAAGAGAAGCAGTAAGTCAGATTGTATTCCAACATTTAAACTCAATACAGTTTTCCGGAAATAAAGATGATTTGCACACCTGACACCCCCACTTATTCACTTACGCATGTATAGAATCTCATCCAATAATTGTTAATGAAATATTTACAGGCATTCCTCCATATGCAGTCTTTCAACGAGTGCCAGAAAATTTTCCATCTATTGATGATACAACAGGGGAACACATATATGAAGAAATACTTTAAAGCGTAGGTGAATAGAACGACAATGGAAGACTGTATGTATGAAAACATCACTTGAAAGTTAATATTGTACTTCACTTTTTAGTCGATAGCAACACCATGCATATCGACATTTTGCAATGCATCGTTTCTTCAAGGTTATTGAACGGCCGTCATTTTAATAAAAAGTACTGTAAATAAAAAATATCAAACAATATATATACCGTATAGCTAGTATGAAGAAAATATAAAATAAAACAAATTCCGAGAAAACTGCATCTTGCAAATCTAAGATATGGATTAAAAGAGTATGGTGGAAGAAACAGCAGTCATCTAGGAGAACCTGTTGAGTACAGACCATTTTCAGCAAAGCCTTGCCCTGGTAAGTCAATTCTCTATTAATAGAAAAAAATTCAGGAAAAAGCGACCATCCAATTTTCTTTGGTATATTTTTTATTGTTATCTATAGTTAACTGTGGTTACAGGAACTGGACTTTGCACTTTCCCATGCTGTGTTTCATGTGGTGTTGCTATGGAAATATGACGACGTTCTTGTAATAATCCTGAACCAAAATACAGCGGTCATAACTGCAGTGGTCTTGGAAACTCGACTGAGTTTAGAAACTGTAGCAGCAAACCAGAAAACAGAGAACGCTTCACGAAAATACTTTACCGTAATTGCGGTTAAAATGATCTTCACGGTAAAGTAGCCGGAATAATTTTGATAAAAAATTTGAGTTAAATAATTGTGAATTTGCTCATAAATTTCAGTATAATTTTACTGCATGGAGTTTTTGAGTCACTTTGGTTGCATTGTTCTACTGATGTTTTTGAGTCAAACTTGTTTGCAGTGTAATAATAATCTTTTTTTTTTAAGTTCCGTTCACAAAGGACCGGATGACAATTCCTCATGTGATTAAGTGGAACGTGACAAATCTGTGTACGGTTTGAAAGTCCAGTGTGAAGGTAGGCTAAAGATCGAACGAGAAAGTTTTTTTACGAAAAGAAATTTTTTATATTTTGCTTTTCACATTTGAAAGTTTGACTTCTTCCTCAAGCAGGAATTACAAGGAAGTGGCACAGAACAGAAAGTCTAGACTACAGTATAGTCTTTGAATTTCGTTATCTCAGTAAATATCACTCGAATGAATTGTATATTGCCATTATATATGCTTGGGTGCTTTTCACGAATACAACACTTTGATGAAGGAAGTCGTTTTATGTTTTTTCCGCAGAAGTATTACCGTTACATCAGTTGAAATAAAATTCAATTGTAAGCAACTTGACACCAAAAAGGTTGTCAATATTTTGAGCTGGGCAAAAACTGCAACCATCAATCGAGCATCAACGAGGTTGTACGTAGAAGTCACGATGAGGGTCGTTTGTTTTAATAATGGTTATGGTATTAAACTGATTTTAGCAATGATTATCATCACAAATGTTGCAGGTAAAGTCTGGTAGTTTTATAAGTCAATTCATTGTTGCAACTGCACATTAGATTGTGCTTGGATTATAAAATGTACCCAAGAGCTTGGGCCAAGACAAACAGATAGACAGACGGACCGGTTTCGAGGGAAGAATTAGCCTGCATTTAGAGTCTGCTGTGCTTGGGTGGTGCATTATAATAGCCTCTAGAGCAAACGCCTTTCACCTTCTACGCGCTTCGGACTTTAGATTCTGTGCGCATCCTCTCCAAATGGCACGTACAACTCCTTGAAAAGTGCTTAAATTGAAAAGCCAATTTCAAGAGCGCTTGAAAACACCAAATTTGTTACAAGTACTTGAAACCCGCTCGAAAATCATTCGTGAGATTGCGTTGCAGCGCACAACATGATACACGTGCGATTTCTTTTCTTGTCACGGCAACCCCGTTCCATTCCCAGCTACGAAGAAAAAAAATGTAACAAACAAACAAAAAAACCTAAGCTTTTACTAATTTAACGTTTTCCTCGCACTAACAGGTGAACATCATCTCCAAGACAAAAACAGGTACTATTTCTGTTTACTCTTTCCATTTAATATTTCCATTTAATATTTTTTGGAAATTACTCTAAAATTGCATGCCAGAGGAAGATACTGTAAATGGAATGGTGGAAAACGATGAAGACACATATTCCCGCAAGCTAGACATTCGATTCTAACTAGACTCGCTGCAACACACAGTCTAGTTTAAAATCAAATGTCTCATCTGAATCGCTTTTCTGATAGACAACGCATTATGCCACGTAGAGACAAGCAATATTTCGTTAACGAGTTGTCTTGCTCGTGTAGACGACGAACAAGTAGTTACTATAATTTTTGTTCAAAGCTGCTTCCAACAAAGTTATAAACAACTGAAACTGTCTACGATACCACACTTTAAAAGCGAATTTAGAAATAAACGTCTACGAGATTTACTCAGTGAAGTATACTGCGCAATTATACTTCTCAAATTTTCCTTGGCGGTTGTAGCTACACACGAACAAACTTACTAGTTGAAAAGCTGACTAGCTTTTGAACAATCTCCTTGTGAAGGAAAAAGTTGTTAAATTTTGCGTACACGCGAACAAATAAAACTTATCAAGTACAATTTGCCCGTCTGCATGTACAGTGTTCAGGGACGTAACTAGAGCGATAATTGGGGGTGCATATTCATATATTCGTGTTCTGCCCGACTGATTTCTTTGAAAGCGATTGTTTTTACACTATGTGAACGTAAATTAATGAATATATGCAGCTCCCTCCCCAGTATCGCGTCTAGTTACGTCCCTGACAGTGCTTTAGGCATCATTGTGGCTTAATAGTGAAGTCTGGTTCTTCATCATTGTATTCACCCATTGTCATACACAAATGTTGTATAGACGTAGATTTAAAACTACTATCTCTTAGTGATTGCTCAATCTTTGTATAGAACGTGTGTTCCTGCCGAAGCTGAACCAACGCTAAACTCGAGTTCGTGTTATCCTTTGGTAAACTTTACCCGTCCTTTTTGTCAAAATCATGGAATCGCTTTACCCAACTACGTATATCAGACGTCCGACTATCAGAATAATAGAAACGATGAAATCAACGCGGACTTCGACATGTTACAGAAGGTGGGCGCATCAAAACTAAGTCGCTTTTTTAAAGTTGACATCAGCACTGTTAGAAAGTGCGTACAATATTTTGTCATAGGGTATTGTCGTCTATATTTTCCGAGTTGTGATCGAACCCAAAGCGTGTTTAAAGAACAAAAGATATGTCGTGAATCATATCTTGAAATAGCTCACATGTGTGGTAAACTGTGGGAAATAATTGTAAGGTTTTATTTAATTGATTACCCGGAGGAAAAGAAGATCGTTCGTGGCGAACTACAACCGACTAGGAATGCTGGTGACTCACCAGAATGTTGGTATTTCAATGGAGTCGCAAACTCTGCAGGTAATATTACAATCAACTCTAGTTCACTCTCATTAACGTCGTTTGACAAAGGTTTCTTCTCATTCTTCTCTCAAACTAACCCTTCCTCCTTGGTTGTGTTCTGTAATCAGACATGGGTGATATGAAGGGAACCCAGGGAAAGATATAAGAATATTTATAAGAATACTTATATTCATAAGAAGATTTAAGGGAATATAAGACGATTTTTGACATTCACGCAAAAACTTAATGTTACTGATTTGTATGAAGTATTGAAGTAGTGAACAATATATGCAACTAACAATTTTATATTTTTATATAAACAATGGTTCGATTTAAGTATACGCGATTATGTTTTTTCAAAGATAAAATAAAATAATATAAGAAGATTTAAGAAGAAATTTGGTCAAAAATAAAATCTTATAATAATATAAGAAGATTTGCCATCCTTCCCTAGAGGCGTTCTTAGTATATGGTGTTCTTGGTAGAGCATGTACACTACCACTCGTGGTTCAACCAGAATTTATCGTCTAACCATCATATTCTTTATTGTAACACATTTTTAGATTCATCTCCAGTTCCAGAATGGACTACAAACGCAGGTAAGAACCCAGAGAGCATCCTAGATCAAACCAAGGGTTAGTCGCTTGGGAGAAGAAAGCTTTTATAAGCTCTTTCAAACACCACAGGTGTTTCCTCGTACTCCAGTTTCCTACTGCAATAACAGTTTTACTACAATAATTTTTCAAAATTCTGAGGTTGGCAAAAAAAAAGAAAATTTTTTAAAAATTCCGAGGTTGGAAAAAAAAAATGAAAATTTTTTCAAAATTCCGAGTTTGGAAAAAAAATGAAAATTTTTTCAAAAATCCAAGGTTGGAAAAAAAAAATTAAATTTTTTTCAAAATTCCGAGGTTGGAAAAAAAATGAAAATTTTTTCAAAATCCCGAGGTTGGAAAAAAAAATGAAAATTGTTTCAAATTCCGAGTTTGGAAAAAAAAATGAAAATTTTTTCAAAATTCCGAGGTTGGAAAAATAACCGGACCTAATAGGAATGGACCTTTCTCGGCCTCAGGGAAGAACAATTTAGAACTCATAGGGTATAAATAATTTTAGTTTTGTTTAGGTTTCCCGCATAAATAAAGTTATTTAGTTTAGGTTTCCCCCTGTGGCAACACAACCTCGTATCCAGGGTCTTTCCTCTTGGGGAGCAAAGACCCTGGCAAATAGACGCTGGTCACGTGATCTGCTAAAATCTAGCAGATTTCTAATCAACTATCTTGGTTTTCTTTACGACAATCATACAAAATGCAAATTATAAATTAAACTATAATATAAACTATAAATGCAAATTATAAATTAAACTATCAATATCAAATGTTTATTGACCTGATCTTGGATTGCTAATTAAAAATCTGCTAGATTTTAGCAGATCACGTGACCAGGGTCTTTGTTCCCCAAGAGGAAAGTCCCTGGGTACGAGGTTGGTGGCAACACTGGACCGAAATAGAGATGATCCTTAAACAGTTAGAGTTGATACAGCTATATCCAGTATAAACTTTGACTATGTATAACATTAGGTAGAATTTATAGCAATATCTGTAAACAATTAATGTTGTGTCGCAAAACTGGGACAATGAATCCAGACTAATAATCATCTTTGCACACAGATTGCCTGTACTTAAACGGGAGCAGTTACCATGGCAACATTTCAGTAACAGCCTCCGGTATTCCGTGTCAATCGTGGACAGAGCAATGTCCACATCGTCATACCATGAACAAAACATATCCAGAACTAAATAACGCTAAGAATTATTGTCGAAATCCTAAGAACTCTGGACAACGACCTTGGTGTTTTACTACAGATCGGACCAAGCGATGGGAGTACTGTGATGTCCCTAAATGTATACCAGGTATAGAGTAATATTGTACTGTGATATTCCTAAATGTATACCGGGTGTAGAGTAATATTGTACTGTGATATCCCGAAATGTAGGTATTGTAGGTTGTGTTTGAAAAACTCGAAAACGTTTTAAACACTTATAACTGTACTCTGTGGTCAAACAAGTGTACCTTTGAACTGCGGTCTTCGCAATTAAATGGTAAATAAAATAACTAGGAACATTTAGGAAAATTAAGTTAATCCAAATAGTGTTACTTTCAGTTTATATAGAAAATTTTAACCAGGCTGTTTTAAAGTGCAGCAACGTAAGCTCAATGTTTTTCTTCTTTGCAAGTTGATGGTAACTACGGCAACTGGTCATTAAACAGTACGTGCAATGTAACTTGTGGTGAAGGTTTTGGTACATGGTCACGAGAATGTAACTATCCTGAGCCAAAGTATGGTGGAAGAAACTGCAGTCATCTAGGAGAACCTGTTGAGTACAGACCATGTTCAGCAAAACCTTGCCCTGGTAAGTCAATTCTTTATTAATAAAAGATTTTCAGGACAAAGTGATCCTTAATTTCCCTCTGTATTTTTTATTATTACCTGTAGTTAACGGTGGTTACAGCAACTGGACTTTGAGTGCCCCATGCAATGTTTCATGTGGTGATGGAGTGGAAATATGGCGACGTTTTTGTAATAATCCTGAACCAAAATATGGCGGTCATAACTGCAGTGGTCTTGGGAACTCGACTGTGTTTGGAAACTGTAGCAGATCACCATGTTCAAGTAAGGCTAAAACACCAACTGAACTGAAATTACTAAACTAACTTTCTACGAACTTTCTATTTTATACAGGGTATATATCAGTTCTAAACTGTCTTTCCTAAAGACCTGTAAGTACCATCCCTTATTTTAGCTACTGCAGGAAACCTTAGTAATCTTATGATAAATATCAATGCCCAAAATACGTAAAAGAGACAGCATGAAGTAATGTTTCGTCCGCTGCGCGGAGGTGAAGATTCCGAGTATCCGGTTGGATCAAAATGAAGTTTTTTGCTTTAAAAATACATTGCGTTTCTTCTTAGCATAACCAAAATATAACACATACCAAAGTGCCACCTTTTTCTACATTTCTATTTCTAGTCGATGGTTCCTATGACAACTGGACGGCGTCACCATGCAGTGCCACGTGTGGTCAAGGTGTGGAAATATGGATACGACAGTGTGATAACCCCCCTGGAAAATTTGGAGGAAATTGTAGTAAACAAGGTCCGGCTCAGGAGATTCGGACATGTAAAATGAAACCTTGTCCAGGTAAGATCTACCTCTAATGGTTATTAGTAATTACAATCCAATTTTGCCAAAAGAAGGTGGGTTTCACAAAGCTAAACCACAGCACATGATGTTCAACCAGAAGTTATCGGACAAATTGTTGATACTATTATCACGACCGAACAGAGCAATCGGTAAATAAAGCCAAAAGAGGCGTTTTTCAATTCGAATGAACAAAGATATTTTAAAAATTTTAGTCCACTTCGACTCTCAGATGATTGGTATCTCCGTTGCTGCTGCTGTTGTTTTTGTGATCATCGTAACAGTGGCATGTCTTATTTTCATTCTTCGAAGACGACGTCGAAAAGAAGGTGAGGTCAAGTTCTAATTTGTTCCAATTAAAAGATAAATTACAAGTAATATCGAGATTATGGTGTGCAAGTAATATCGAGATTATGGTTTTATATAAGTTAAGACGACTTCATCCCGAACAAATCTTTGTAAATATTCAACAGCACTGTTGAATAATAATTCGATTGGTTAATTATCACAAAAATTCATTGTCTTGGCAGTCAATAAGTTGTGTTGAAATATTAATCAGCAAAAGTCTGCATAAAATCGTAGCCCATTGTGGACGCGTTAAAGTTTATCGAATTTCCAGACCATACGTCGATTGCCTGAACTGACGGTCTTAAATATTTATATTTCCGGTGAAAATTTTGTGACATTGCGAACAGAAACGATGAAATTTACGTCTGCTGAAATTACTGATCTACATGTTGGTATTTGAATTCTCTAGGCTTTCCTTATTACGCCCGTGTGGAGTTTTTACGGCTACATCCCCGCGGTTCTCCACCACCGGACAATACTTCAGACGAAGTTCCGAGTTTACCACAAGAGCCTGGCACTAAATATGGAAACACGACAAGTGAAGGGGAGCCAGTTCCAGGCCTCTCGCGTGGTGTGGTGCGCTACCCAAGAGATTACATGAACACAAGACCCGCGCGAAATTCATGGTATGACAGACTTCAGTTACTTCGACCATTAGCTATGGACTGGCTTCGAAACGCTTGGGGAAATGTTGACGAGTTTGGCCGCCATGTTTATGACGTTATGCAACGCGTCAGACATGTTTTTGTCCCATACGACAAGTTGAGCAATCTACAACAAGGCGACTCGGCCGGAAGTGGAGTGGAGAGGAATAATACTTATAGTACAATGGAAAGACCCGCAGCAGTTATATTGCCCACTGAAAGTGAGAATGCGTCGACGACAGAAAATGTTTGATCTATCAGACTATATTAACCTTGGTCCATCTCTTCGTAGAAACTTGCCTTCTTTTTTCATTAATTTTTTATGATTGGCTGAAGTGCTATAGCGCAAACTAGGAAAATTATTGCGTAAATTATACTTAAACCATTCAATGGGCGCCGGATTGTTTTTTCAACATAGTTGAAAACTGTAACTTCCTGGCTACGATAGTCATAAGATTGTGTGTATATTGCAAGACAATGTTAGCACATATGTAAAATTTAGAGTTAATAATTTCTGTTCAAGTTAATAATTTCAGTAATAGAATGGGGGAACTTACTCCCAGCCCAAAATATCCAAAAAATGTGTCGTGAGTGTTGCTTATACAGTAAACGAACTGCGGAAATGCAACATCCAATGGAAGATGTCGAAGTTTAGTTATACATGACGGCAGACATGAAAGTGGCAATTCACACTTCGCGAAAATAACTAAATGCCGGTTAAAATAATCTTCACTGTAAGGTGGCCGGCAAAATTTTGACAAAGTTTTAATTTTTTTTGCGAAGTTGTAATGTAATGTAAAGTAAAACCTTTGTTTCAACAGGGTTACCCTTTCAGAAGACAAACTTCTGCTATCAATAAGGGCCCTGTAAATTTGATCAACTGTAGTACTATTAAAATTACTTGAATATACAAAATATACTACAACTACTGCTACTACACTAAAACTAGTAGGATACATTATAAAAATACTAATAATTAAGTCTATTAAGTCTATAATGCACGCACAGTGACTCAGAATTACTCGAATTTTGGAGCAAACATTTGCTTTATTTAAGAAAATGAGTAAATGTGCTGATAAATTAGTCAATGAGTAATTCTATACTCAATATTTTGAGTGACTTTGGTTGCATTATTCTACTGATGTTTCTGAGTCAAATTTTTGTCAAAAGAGTCAAATGCTTGCTATGTAATAATGATCATTTTTTAGGACCGGATGAGAATTCCTCGCGTGAATAAGTGGAACCTGACGAATCTGTGTACGGTTTCAAAGTCGTTCGATCCGGTGTGAAGGTAGGCTGAAGAATGAACTTTTTTACATTTTCCTTTTCACATTTGAAAGTTTGACTTCTTCCCCAAGCAGGGAATAGAAGGAAGTTGCACAGTACAGAAAGTCTAGATTATAGTCTTTGAATTCCGCTATCTCAATAATTATCACTCGAATGAATTGTATATTATCATTATATGTGCTTGGGTGCTTTCCACGAGTACAAGTCTGACAAAGGAAGTCGTTTTATGTTTCTACGCGGAAGAATTTATACCCTTACTTGATACCAAAAAGGTTGTCGAAATTTTGAGCCGGGCAAACATTGCAACCATCGATTGAGCATTACGAGGTTGTACGCAGAATTCACGATGGGGGTCGTTTGTTTTAGTAATGGCGGTGGTATTATACTGATTTTAGCAATGATTATCATCACAAATGTTGCAGGTAAAGTCTGGTAGTTTTATTTCTAATTTGCCCAACTTCGCATTAGATTGTGCCTGGATTATAAAATGTACCCAAGACAAACAGACAGACCTGTTTCGTGACAAGAATTAGCCTGAACTGAGAGTCTGCTGTACTTGGGTGGTGTATTAATTATAATAGTTTCTAGAACAAGCGGCTTTCACCTCTTACGCACTTCGGACTTTAGATTTTGTGCGCATCCTCTCCAAATGGCACGTACATCTCCTTGAAAAGTGCTTAGATTGAAAAAGCAATTTCAAGAGCGCTTGCATGATAGCGCTAAATTTGTTACAAGTACTTGAAACTTCACGAGTTCAGAATTTCAAATAGGATCTCATGTCGTTGTCTCATCGTTGTTTGTCTCAATTTGTGGCCTGTTAATTTGTTTATCTGTTTATTAGTATGTCTAATATCTGTCACGCCATAGTGTAAATTGTTATGTTTATGTATGTTGTGGAACCCCGTTATTGGAGATTTTATCTCTGTGTGGTCATTCCAGCCATTGTGTGTAATTTATAGTTGGTTTATATCTTTAATAATGGCAAATTTGTAAAAAAAAAAAAATTAAAAAAAATAAAATAAAATAAAAAAAAAAATTAAAAAAAGATTAAAATTGAAACGAGCTCGAAAATCATTCGTGAGATTGCATTGCAGCGCACAACATGATACACGTGCGATTTCTTCTCTTGCCTCCGCAACCCCGTTCCATTGCCAACTCCGAAGAAAAAATGCCACGTGTAACCTAAGATTTTACTAATTTAACCTTTTCCTCTCACTAACAGGTGAACATCATCTCCAAGACAAAAACAGGTACTGTTTCTGTTTACTCTCTCCATTTAATATTTTTTGCAAATTACTGTAAATTGCATGCATGCCTGTGGAAGTTACTGTAGATGAAATGGTGGAAAACGATGAAGACAGATATTCCCGCAAGCTAGACATTCGATTCTAACCAGACTCGCTGGAAAACACAAAGTCTAGTTTAAAATCAAATGTCTAACCTGAATCGCTTTTCTGATACAAAACACATTATGTCCCGTACAGACGAGCAAGATTTCCTTAACGAATTTCTTGCTCGTGTAGACAACGAACAAGTTTTTTTCGATCAATTTTTCCTTAACAAGTTTTACGAGTCCGCGCTATTTGAGTACGCAAACAATTTGATATTCGTGTAAGACCCACAAAACAGATTCAGCAAAGGTATGTGTGATCACAAAAATTAGTCAACCCTATAAATCATGAACCGAACTCTAGTTTTAAATACCTCTATCATATTATATGTTTCTTACACTAAGTAGTTACTATGATATTTGTTCAAAGCTGCTTCCAACAAAGTTGTAAACAACTGAAGCCGTCTACGATAACACACTTTTAACGCCTGTCGTAAAGATTGAGTCACGATCTTTCTCATCAGCCGAAAGACGACATTTTAGAACTGAAAATACGCAGAGTGATTATAACTAGAGAATACTCATGAATTATATGTGGTTTACAGGTATAAACTATTATAAACTGGCCGTTGAGAAAAATCGTGACTCTGTTTTTACGACCATATGGAAACCAGGCTTAAAAGCGAATTTCAAAATAAACGAGATATACTCTATAGAAGTACTGCGCAATAGACCTTTCCCCTTTTAACCAAAATTTTGATCTAGGCAAGTCTAGACAAATGTTTCATCACAGCTTGAAAGAGCATCACAAAATTAGTAATATTCCAAAGTTTCGTTGCAAAATCTTGTAAAATGAGGAAGATAGAGCCTTGCGAAGTTTGCAATTTTCAGTCATTTTGAGTTACAAACGGGAAATTGCAGCCCCAACACCCGAATCGGATGTCAATTTCCCGTTTGTAATACAAAATGACTGAAAAACGGCAAACTTCGCAAGGCTATATTATCCGAATTTTACAAGATTTTGCAACAAAACTTTGGAATATTACTAATTTTGTGATGCTCTTTCAAGCTGTGATGAAATTTTTGTCTAGATCGAAATTTTAGTTATAAGGGGAAAGGTCCATTATACTTGTCGAATTTTCCGTGCCCTACACACGAGACAAATAAAACCTATCAATTAAAGTTTGCTGATCTGCATATAGCCTACATGTGGCTTGATAGTGAAGCGTGGTTCGTCGTTATTGTATTCACCACCCATTGTCATGCACAAGCTAACTAATGTTTCATAGACGTAGATTTAAAACTATCATATCTTAGTGATTGCTCAATCTTTGTATAGGACGTGCATTCCTGCCGAAGCTGAACCAACGCTGAACTCGAGTTCGTGTTATCCTTTGGTAAACTTTACCCGTCCTTTTTGTCAAAATCGTGGAATCACTTTACCCAACTACGTAAAAAATACGCCCGACTATCAGAATAATAGAAACGATCAAGCTAACAAGGACTTCGACGGATCACGGAAGCTGGGCGCATCAAAACTAAGTCGCTTTCTTAAAGTTGACATCAGCACTGTTAGAAAGTGCGGACAAGCAATCCCCATATGGTATTGTCATTTATATTTTCCGAGTTGTGATCGAACCCAAAGCGTGTTTAAAGAACAAAAGATATGTCGTGAATCATATCTTCACTTGACTCACATGTGTGGTGAACTGTGGGATAGATTTGTAAGTATTTATACAATTAGGTTCCCGGAGGCAAAGAAGCTCCTTCGTGGCGAATTACAACCAACTAGGAATGCTGGTGGCTCACCAGAATGCTGGTATTTCAATGGAGTCGCAAACTCTGCAGGTAACATTACAATCAACTCTCGTTCACTCTCATTTTCGTTTGACAAAGGTTTCTTCTCATTTTACTCCATCATCAAAAACTAATCCTTCCTCCTTAGTTGTGTTCTGTAATCAAATATGGATGACATGAGTATATGGTGTTTATGGTAGACCACATTCACACTACCACTCGTGGCTGAACCAGACTTTATCGTCTAACCATCATATTCTTTATTGTAACACATTTTTAGATGCATCTCCAGCTCCAGAATGGGCTACAAACACAGGTAAGAACCCAGAGAGAAGCCTAGATCAAACCAAGGGTTAGTCACATGGGAGAGGAAAGCTTTTATGAGCTCTTTCAAACACCACCGGGTTTTTTCTTGTCCTCCAGTTTCCTACTGCAATAACCCCGGACCTAATAGGAATGGACCTCTCTGGACTTCAGGGAAAAACAATTTAGACTGATAAAGTATAAATAATTTTAGTTTAGCTTAGGTTTCCAGTATAAGTAAAGTTATTTAGTTTAAGTTTTCCCATGTGGCAACACTGGAACAATAAGAGATAATCCTTAATGGACCTCCAGAGAGAATAGTTTAGAGTTGATAGAGCTATATCCAGTATAAATAAAGTTTGTTTAGTTCAGGTTTCCTCCTGTTGTAACATTTGACCTAAATAGGCATCACTCTTACTGGACCTCAAGGGAGAACAGTTTTGAACTGATAGAGCTATCCATGCAACATAAAGTTTGACAATATATAATATTATCTACAATTAGTATAAAAATATCTGTAAACAATTAATGTTATGTCGCAAAACTGGGACAATGAATCCAGACTAATAATCATCTTTCCACACAGATTGCTTGTACTTAAACGGCAGCAGTTACCATGGCAACATTTCAGTGACAGCCTCGGGTATTCCGTGTCAATCATGGCCAGAGCAATGTCCACATCGTCATACCATGAACAAAACATATCCAGAACTAAATAACGCTAAGAATTATTGTCGAAATCCTCAGAACTCTGGACAACGACCTTGGTGTTTTACTACAGATAGGAACAAGAGATGGGAGTACTGTCATATCCCTAAATGTATACCAGGTATAGAGTAATATTGTATTGTGATATGACTGATATCCCTAAATTGGCTAAATATATACCAGGTATAGAGTAATATTGTACTGCGATATCCCTAAATGTATACCAGGTATAGAGTGATATTGTACTGTGATATCCATAAATGTATACCAGGTAAACTACCAAAGTTTGAGGTTGAATCAGCCGAAAAAGAATTAAACAGTTAATTGTGCCCTATGTCGCATGCAAACGTGGATCGTATGGTGTATGGCGCAGTCCCATGCAACCTGCTTACAGCTTTAGGCAAATGTTGTGTACTTATAAATCGGCCTTGCAAAACAAAGTTGTTTAATTGACCACTTGCGTAGTAGACTAAATTTTGATCTAGACAAAAATTTCATCACAGCTTGAAAGAGCATCACAAAATTAGTAATATTCCAAAGTTTCGTTGCGAAATGTTGTAAAATGCGGATAATATAGCCTTGCGAAGTTTGCAATTTTCAGTCATTTTAGATTACAAACGGGAAATTGACAGCCCAATACCCTTTGGGGCTGCCAATTTCCCGTTTGTAATCTAAAATGACTGAAAATTGCAAACTTCGCAAGGCTATATTATCCGCATTTTACAACATTTCACAACGAAACATTGGAATATTACTAATTTTGTGATGCTCTTTCAAGCTGTGATGACATTTTTGTCTAGACGTGTTTAGATCAAAATTTAGTCTATTACGCAAATGGTCAATTAAGAGCAGCAACAAAACCTCGATGTTTTTCTTTTTTGCATAGTTGATGGCAGTTATAGCAACTGGTCACTAAACAGTACGTGCAATGTAACTTGTGGTGAAGGTGTTGAAACATGGACACGAGAATGTGACAATCCTGAGCCAAAGTATGGTGGAAGAAACTGCAGTCATCTAGGAGAACCTGTTGAGTACAGACCATGTTCAGCAAAGCCTTGCCCTGGTAAATCAACTTTTTGTCAATGAAAAACTCTCAGTACAAAGCGACCTTTGATTTCCCGCTGTATTTGTTATTATTATCTTTAGTTAACGGTGGTTACAGCAACTGGACTTTGAGTAAATCATGCAATGTTTCATGTGGTGATGGAGTGGAAATATGGCGACGTTTTTGTAATAATCCTGAACCAAAATATGGCGGTCATAACTGCAGTGGTCTTGGGAACTTGACTGAGTTTAGAAACTGTAGCAGAAAACCATGTCCGGGTAAGGTTAAAACTGAACTATAAAATAGAATTACTAAACTAACTTTCTGCAAACTTACTGTTCTATACTGGATATCCCTTTCCTAAAGACCTGTAAGAACCATCCCTTATTCTTGCTACAACGGGAAAACCACAAAATGAACTGCAGTAAAACCCCGCATATAAGAACCTAGACTTTTCCAAGTTAGCCTAAACAGGTTCCTTATGTACATAATGCTTACCAGGAAATTGGGCTAAAATAAAGTAGGTTCTTATTTGCGATAGGTGGTCATAAAGTAACTGCTAGGGTGGGCTGGAGGTAAACCACAAATTTTGCCAATACGTTCGGTGACCCATCTTAGGATGTAGATAAAAATTTCAAAGCCCATCTAATCTTACAAAAGATTTTTCATGACCCACCCAATCTAAATTGGGAAAATACACTTTTATAATAAAGAAACTTGCAGGTATGAACATTGTAAATATACACATAACGGTATTGACATACATAATTCCACCAAGCTTGACCAACACGTTGATACTGAGCTGCTCTCCAGTTGGTTGTATTTGCTGTGATTCGACCACTTCTTGTTGTATAAACAAAGTACTAACTTCAATAGCATCATTTGCATTTGATAATTTGGATAGTTTGTTTACCTTTATTATTAATATCTTTATTTTTTGAAGTAGACATGCATGGGTTTTTGTTTGGTGGCCCAACCGTGGACATACAAAAAAATTGGCGGCCCACCGAAACTGCCCAAAGATTTCCATGGCCCATCCCAAATCACTCCAGCCCACCCTAGCAGTTACTTTATGACCGGTCCCTTATGCACATATTATCTATCAGATTGTCCATGATGCTGAAAAACATTTCTTCCATTTTCGCTGAAGAAATACAATGATTTGTTGTTGTTTTCATATGGACATGTTATTTTTCTGAATAATATTTCCCAGGTTCTAGGTCGTTTTCATTACTTTGTGAAGTGCTTATTTTCTTTGATTTATATGTACTTCGCCAAGTCATTTACAACATGAGCGGCCGTGTTGTATCGGATATTGTATATCCGATACAACACGGCCGCTCATGTTGTAAATGACTTTAAAAACGACTCATATTATGAGTTCATTGGCGAAGTAATTTTAAAATTAAACGTTGTCTAAGCCGAGAAAATCGAAGTTAGAGTTTATGTAGATCAACATGAATCTGTATCACATATACAGATACGACATTTAATTTTTTTTAGTTTCACTCTATATGATAAAATAAGAACCTACTTTGAAATTTTAGCCTAAACAGGTTGTTATAAATAACAGGTCTAAATAACAGGTTCTTAAATTCTAGGTTCTTATATGCATGGTTTTACTGTATGCACATACCACTGTGCCACGGACAGTGTCTTATTCATTGCATTTTTATTTCTAGTCGATGGTTCCTACGGCAACTGGACAACGTCACCATGCAGTGCCACGTGTGGTCAAGGTGTGAAAATATGGATACGACAGTGCGATAACCCCCCTGGAAAATATGGAGGAAACTGCATCAAGCAAGGTCCGGCTCGAGAGATTCGGACATGTAAAATGAAACCTTGTCCAGGTAAGATCTACCTTGCCTGAAATTTAACGCAATATACAGCTCAATTTATAGCCTCCCATGCTTTCATTCATTGTTACCCAGTTATTATTACAGCTTTGTTACACTGTTATAACAGCTACCACTGAAAAGCTTTCAGAAATTATCGGAGGGGGGGGGGGGAGAGGCTTCAAAATATCAAGAACGCTAACTCCTTATTTTAAATGATGTACAGTATCATAGTTATTTAATTGTATGCTGGAATAATTAACTTTACTGGCTTACAGTTTGACAAAACGCGCTGGTTTCTTCCTTTGAATAAACAAAACAAAACATTGCAAGGGTCAGAACAAATGTCTATCTTGTGATCTCTAACGTTCATAGCAGAATTTTATTTCATCAGCCTCTTGAAACTGGTGATTACTAATAACTAAACAAAGTAAATTATAGTCAGCAAAAATATTGTCCATACGGCATACTATTATCGCGACAAAACAGAGCAATCGATAAATGAAGCCAAAAGAGGCGTTTTTTATTCGAGTGAACAAAAGATATTTTAAAAATTTCAGTCCACTTCGACTCTCAGATGATTGGTATCACCGTTGCTGCTGCTGTTGTTTTTGTGATCATCGTAACAGTGGCATGTTTTATTTTCATTCTTCGAAGACGATGTCGAAACGAAGGTGAGGTCAAGTTCTAATTTGTTCTAATTGCAAGAAAAATTATAAGTAAGGCCAAATAAAAAAAAATACTTGGTAGTCACACTCTCACAAATTTTCAGAGGCGGGCGGGCGGATTTTTTTTAAATTTTTACTCGTTTTTTAATTTTTTAATAGTATTTTTGGAGGGGATGGGGGGCGGTTTTTCCACCATATCGGTGATATTTTTTGTACTGAAGTTGCGAAGGCCGCCATTTTGCTTTAAGAACCTTGTATACCCAAGCCTACGCGCTCCTATCGATCAGTATATAGCGCGAAGGTCTGAGCATGAGAAAAATTTCAAATATTAAACTGTTTTAAGCTGTAAAACGAAGAGATTTACATAAAAAAAATAAAAAAAAATTCAGAGGCGGCAGAAAATCGAGAGGCGGGCGGTGACGCTAACCAAGTATTTTTTTTTATTTGGCCTAATATTGAGATTATGGTGTACAAATTACAGTTTTGTGTTAAGACGATCGACTTCATCCCGAACAAGTCTTTTGAAAGTTTTCTGCAAATATTTCAACAGCACTGTTGAAGAATGATTCGATTGGTTATTTATCACAAAAATTTATTTTCTTGGCAGTCAATAAGTTGGGCACTGTTGAAATATTAATAAGCAAAAGTCAACTTAAAATTGTAGCCCATTATCATGGACGCTTCAAAGTTTCTCGAATTTCCAGACAATCTGTCGATTGACTGAACTCACTGTATTAAATTAAATTAAATTAGTATAATTACAAAGGTGATTATCGAAAATTGTGGCCGCTGATTGGTCAAGCGACCTCGGATTATTACGCGATAATCACCTAAGCGGATTTTTCAAAATGGCGGCGAGTGGTTTCGTCGAAGTGACAGATGAAGAAATAAATTAAATTTTAAAGAAAATACTGTACCTAAAAGCACGAAAGAAGTGACAAAATTTGGCTTAAAAGTATTTCGAGATGGGAAACTACGAGATGGGGAAACTACTTCGCATAAAACACCGTTTTATTTAAGTTGCCGTACAATAGTTTAGACATTTGTTTACGTTTGTAAAAAAAGTATTTTCTACAACAGATTTGTTTCAACGACAGTCAGAATTCACAAATGAGTTTGAAGACATCAATATTGACGGAATAAACAAATGTTTATCAAAATTCTACGTTTCTATAAGAAAAAGTGATGGAAATTACTACAAAAAGCATTCTTGATGGCGATATGAACGGCCCTGGATATAGAAAGCTAAAGTCACCGCCGTACGAAAAAAGATTGAGATGTGTTATATTATTTTTTTTCAAATAATCACCTTTGTAATTATACTAAAACAATTATTCGCCTCAGGCTCGGTGAATATCGCTGAATAAAAACCTCGACTTCGTCTCGGTTTTTATTCAGCGATATTCACCTCGCCTTCGGCGAATAATTGTTAATTAACGTCTGCTGAGATTACTGATCTATAATATTGAAATTTGAATTGTCTAGGCTATCCTTATTACGCCCGTGTGTATTTTTCACGGCAACGTCCCCGCGGTTCTCAACAGCCAGAAGACGGTAACAATACTTCAGACGAAGTTCCGAGTTTACCACAAGAGCCTGGCACTAAATATGGAAACATGACAAGTGACGGGGAGCCAGTTCCAGGCCTCTCGCGTGGTGTGGAGCGCTACAGAAGAGATTACATGAACACAAGACGCGCGCGAAATTCATGGTATGACAGACTTCAGTTAATTCGACCATTAGCTATGGACTGGCTTCGAAACGCTTGGGGAAATGTTGACGAGTTTGGACGCCATGTTTATGACGTCATGCAACGCGTCAGACATGTTTTTGTCCCATACAACAAGTTGGGCAACTTACCACAAGGCGACTCGGCCGGAAGTGGAGTGGAGAGGAATAATACTTATAGTTCAATGGAAAGATCCACAGCAGTTATATTGCCCACAGAAAGTGAGAATGCGTCGACGACAGAAAATGTTTGATCTATCAGATTATCGAAGTGTAGAACCTTGGTCCATCTCTTCATTGAAACTTACCTTCTTTTCCCAATAATTCATTTATGATTGACTGAAGTGCTGTACCCCTCAATGGGCGATTATTTCTTGAACGTAGTTAGCGAATAGGAATTTTATGTCTACCATGCGAATAGGAATTTTATGTCTACCATCTTGTTATTATTAGCGATAAGGAAATAGCTTAAGATATGGCGTGCTGAAAACTGTGCCTCTTAAAGATAAGAGAGTAGCTGTATGCAAATATTTTAAGACAAGATGGAACATTTTGACAATTACGAAGGGTGTCTTATAAGGCCGCCCTCATATTTTTACAATCATTCGCTTCGGTCTTCTGGCGAGCAAATACTCACAGTAACAGCCCACCTCTTCCCCATATCTGTCTCTATAACGTTCTGGCTACGACAGTCATGGGGTATTGGGGTTGTGTATATTGGCGTAATATGTGGTGTGCCCTCATCTTACTGGGCAAAACAATGGTAACACATAGTTAATAATTTCAGTAATAAAATGGCTATGGGGAACTTATCCTTAGCCCAAAATGTTCCCAAAATGTGTCTACTATATGTCCAGTAAACAAGCTGTGGAAATGAAACATCCAATGAAAGATATTGAACTTTAGTAATACATGACGGCAGACATGAAAGTGGCAATTCACGCTTCACGAAAATAACTTTTCCGTAATGCCGTTTAAAATAATCTTCACTGTAAAATGGCCAGAGAAATTTTGATAACGTTTTCTTGCGAAAAAATTTAACTAAAAAATTTGAGTTAAATAACGCACCCACCTGACTCAAAATTACTCGATTTTTGGTGTGAACATTTGCTTTACTCAAGAAAATGAGTAAATTTTCTTATAACTTGGGTATAATTTCACTCAATATTTTGAATCACATATTCTACTTAAGTTTTTGAGTCAATTTGTTTTGCTATGTAATAATGATAATTTGTTTAATTTTAGATTCCGTTCACAAATTATTAATATAAGGACCGGATGAGAATTCCTCGTGTGAATAAGTGGAACCTGGCGAATCCGTGTACGGTTTCAAAGTCGTTCGATCCGGTCTGAAGTACCGGTAGGCTAAAGAATGAACTTTTTTACATTTTGCTATTCACATTTGAAAGTTTGACTTCTTCCCCAAGCTGGGAATACAAGGAAGTGTCACAGTACAGAAAGTCTAGATTATAGTCTTTGAATTGACCATTTGCGCAATAGACTAAATTTTGATCTAGACAAAAATTTCATCACAGCTTGAAAGAGCATCACAAAATTAGTAATATTCCAAAGTTTCGTTGCAAAATGTTGTAAAATGCGGATAATATAGCCTTGCGAAGTTTGCAATTTTCAGTCATTTTAGATTACAAACGGGAAATTGACAGCCCGATACGCTTTGAGGCTGTCAATTTTCCGTTTGTAATCTAAAATGACTGAAAATTGCAAACTTCGCAAGGCTATATTATCCGCATTTTACAACCTTTCAATTTTGTGATGCTCTTTCAAGCTGTGATAAAATTTTTGTCCAGACTTGTTTAGATCAAAATTTTGTCTATTACGCAAATGGTCAATTCCGTTATCTCAATAGTTATCACTCGAATGAATTGCATAGTATCATTATATGTGCTTGGGTACTTTCCACGAGTACAAGTCTGACAAAGGAAGTCGTTTTATGTTTCTACGCGGAAGTATTACCCTTACATCGGTTAAAATATAATTCAGTTGTAAGCAACTTGACACAAAAGAAGTTGTCGAAATTTTGCATGAGCTGGGCAAACATTGCAACCATCGATTGAGCATTAACAAGGTTGTACGCAGAAGTGACGATGGGGGTCGTTTGTTTTAATAATGGCGGTGGTACTGTACTGATTTTAGCAATGATTATCATCACAAATGTTGCAGGTAAAGTCTGGTAGTTTTATTAATCAATTCATTGTTTCAATTGCGCATTAGATTGTGCCAGGATTATAAATTGTACCCGAGACAAACAGATACAGATGGACAGGTTTCGAGGCAAGAATTAGCCTGAATTTAGAGTCTGCTGTGCTTGGGTGGTACAATATAATAGTGGCTAGAGCAGGCACCTTTCACCTATTACACGCTTCGGGCTTTATAGATTCTGTGCGCATCCTCTCCAAATGGCACGTACAACTCTTTGAAAAGTGCTTAAATTGAAAAACCAATTTCAAGGGCTCGAAAATCATTCCTGAGGTTGCGTTACAGCGCACAACATATACACGTGCGATTTCATATACAGGTGCGATTTCAGCTCCGAAGAAATAAATGCCACGTGTAAGCTAAGCTTTTACTAATTTAACGTTTTCCTCACATTAACAGGTGAACATCATCTCCAAGACAAAAACAGGTACTGTTTCTATTTACTTTTTCCATTTGATATTTCTTCCAAATTAATATTTATTCTAACCAGACTCGCTGGGAAACACATAGTCTAGTTTAAAATCAAATTTTTAACCTGAATCGCTTTTCTGATAGAAAACACATTATTTCCCGTATAAAGACAAGAACGATTACGTTAACGAGTTGTCTTGCTGTAGACAACGAACAAGTTTTTTTCGGTCAATTTTTCCTTAACAAGTTTTACGAGCCCGCGCTATTTGAGTAAGCAAACAATTTCGTAATAATTTTTGTTTAAAGTTGCTTCCAACAAAGTTATGAACAACTGAAGCCAACTTTAAAAGCGAATTTCAAAATAATTTACCGTAATAGAATATTTACTCTAAAAGATGACGGTTAAACGCATGTCAAATAACAGATTTCTTTTTAGGTTCATTCCATTCTACTTTAATTTTACTCTACCTTTCTTTTGTGACATCAGCTATAACCATCGTCTCGCAACATTGAATCTACTACCTTTGTGTTACTGGCACGAGTAGGCTACCTAGACATATTGTTCCTTTTCAAATCACATCATGACATCATTAACCTAAGCAGCGACATGCTACCATACCCTCATGATGCAAGTCAACGTACCCGATCTACAAACCCTAACTGCCTACAATTTCAAACTTCAGCATGTAAAACATCCACCTATCAAAAATCCTATCTAATAAGGACTACTAGAGTCTGGAACACATTGCCAAGGGTTTTAGTTTCTGTTAATGGCATGGCAACCTTAAAGGAGTTTAAAAATAAGTTATATATCTATCATAAAACAGCATTAGATAAATGTTATAACGTTGACGATTCACGAACATGGAAATCGGTTTGCTTAAAATGCAATCAAGCTCGCGACCTTACAAGGCCGATAACGTGTTGTTTTTAGATTTTAATAGTTTTCAGAAGTATAGCTTTTCGCATTGGTATCTATGGGGCCTATCGGGGTTTTGCTGAAGGTTTGGGATTGTGAGGGTTAAACGTTAATAAATTAAGTTAAATTAAATTAATTTACGATTACAGAATACTTACTGTAAAAAATAACGGTACATTGATAGGTGGAAAAAGGGGCCAGGGACCCCTGGTTATTTCTCCACCTAACAGAGACTGGTTATTTTAATAAGAACGTCCTGGTGTACTTTTTGGATGATCCTAGATCCAAAGCTGTTTTAAGCAACATCGTTCTCTCTTTAGTTCATGTATACCAGCAAAAGATGAACCTGTGTATACCACACATGGTGACTGTTATCCTTTAATCAAACTGGACAACCCATTTTGTGAACATTATGGGTTCAAACTTGATAAATACGTCAAGGCGCCGGAGAATGACCAACAGATTATGAATAACCAATTGTGGGAGGTACAGGAACAATTCGAGCAAATAAAAGCTAAAGGTCAAAATATTTCAACATCACACGAATGCACTGACCAAGTTCGTTTTCCTGGCTGCTACTATGCATTTCCAGGCTGCGATCGCAGCACAAGTGTGCTTAAACCAAAGAAAATTTGCAAGGAGTCGTGTCTCCATTTTACAAAGGAATGCAGTGCGTTTGTGAAGATGTGGAACGATATTTTCGAACCCACACTGTTGGGAGGGGATCCAATTGCTGCAGCTGTATTCAATTGTACGGGAAAACCATCAAGAAATGCTGGGGACTCTCCTGAGTGTATGTATTATGATAGGAAAGAAAGTTTGGAAAAGGAAGGTAAGTTTGGTCGGTCAGTTGGTCGTTGGCGTATCCGGCGCGCTAGGGGGCAGGCGTTCGGTCCGACGGTCAGACCATAGGCAGCCCAATGTTATGGTTGCCTGCCTGCGCGCGGGCGAGGCATTGTATAGTTGTATTATTTCCTAAGGTAGGCAAATTCAATCAAACTAACGATACATATACTTTCAAACAATCCAAAATACTTCAAATATCTTTACATCTACGCTAAACTAATCACGGAAATAAAATCTACGATACTTTTACTATATACTAACAATATTTTAACGTACAAAACAAATTTGTAATGCGAGAAAAAAACGAAAAGTTTTTGCATTTTTTTTCAATTCTTGAATGAGACGATGCTGGATTCGCGCTCGACGTTTTTGATGGCGTTTCAAATGACGAATTTCTAATCTCATTGGCTGTCTTTTTCTACGTTTTAAAACCGTAAAAATGACAACCAATGAGATTAGAAATTCGTCATTTGAAACGCCATCAAAAACGTCGAGCGCGAATCCAGCATCGTCTCATTCAAGAATTGAAAAAAAATGCAAAAACTTTTCTTATTTTTCTCGCATTACAAATTTGTTTTGTACGTTAAAATATTGTTAGTATATAGTAAACGTATCGTAGATTTTATTTCCGTGATTAGTTTAGCGTAGATGTAAAGATATTTGAAGTATTTTCGATTGTTTGAAAGTATATGTATCGTTAGTTTGATTGAATTTGCCTACCTTAGGAAATAATACAACTATACAATGCCTCGCCCGCGCGCAGGCAGGCAACCATAACATTGGGCTGCCTATGGTCAGACGGTTGGTTTGTCAGTCTTCATTAAGGTGATTCATCAGTAATTGTTCTGGAAGTGAGAATTTGCTGAAACTTCCCAGGGGTGAAGTTTATGATATACTCGTAGTAAAAACAGGAAAAAAGTTCGGACTCGTTTGGAAGACATGAGATGTGCAATATGCCACCTTTTTCCCAATATGGCGCCATCTTCACCCTTTTACGAGCTACAGCTCTGGAGTTCCAGGAACAATCCAATGCAATTTGAGGGCCACAGGTTTTTCAGTTATATTGCTGTCATGTGTTTTTACCCTCATTAAATAAAGTTGTTCATTCATTCATTCATTCATTCATTCATTCAATCCCACTAGACGTTTCTGGTAATTACGTCACAACTACACTGTTTCAACTTAGGACCACCTTAAATGGAATAGATTTGAAGTTTGTTTCTCACTGGCTATGGTCAAAGAAGCAGAACATCCTTCGTCAACACATGCATAAAAAGAATTTTGGATTTTGAGTATTAAATGTGGAAATAAGCTTAAACACGAAAACGAGGCTGAGGGCCATGGCCCCTCAATCTGTTTTTCAGTCTGATTACTATTTTTTCTTGTAGATTGTCTGTACTTAAACGGCAGCAGTTACCATGGCAACATTTCAGTGACAGCCTCGGGTATTCCGTGTCAATCATGGACAGAGCAATGTCCACATCGTCATACCATGAACAATACATATCCAGAACTAAATAACGCTAAGAATTATTGTCGAAATCCTCAGAACTCTGGACAACGACCTTGGTGTTTTACTACAGATAGGAACAAGAGATGGGAGTACTGTGATATCCCTAAATGTATACCAGGTAGAGAGTAATATTGTACTGTGATATCCCTAAATGTATACCATTTTTACACCGGCCTTCGGTGACGCGATCGCCTGAGCAAGTGCCTTTCATCTCTGAGATCGTGGGTTCGATTTTCACTTGTGTAAATGAGTCAACGCTCTACTGAAAGTCGTGGATTTTCTCCGGATACTTCATGCACAAGAAATGTTTATAGGGTGGGTTAGGATAAGCCCCAAACAGACCTTGACCCTGTGCCCCGTGGTCAAACATGACTCATAAGGTGGCTGCCAGAGGTGCCCTTAGAAAGCCTTCGACTGGATCAGGTTTAGCTGAGTCCTTCGTAATTCAGCTTAACTCTCAGCTGCATGTAAGGATGATTATGTCACTTACTTATTTTACAAATAAAAACCCCCCAACAAATTACAGCTCAGGCACTTTTATCAGGTCGGACGGAGACTCAGAGAAGTAATTATTTTATGTGGCCTTAAAGGCTACGTTCATACAAGACCGGCCGAAATCGGAAACCCAAACAATTTTTTGTAAAAAGTCCATTTATTTTTCAGCCTACAGTCAATCTGGCAACTTTACTTTGAAGTATTTGTAAAACATGATAAGAGAATTCTGAGTCAATACTGATCCTCCTCATATAGTGCAACAATGGTTGAGATTTGATAATATCAATGCTCCAGCAACTGACTTTAAAACATTCTTAGGAATATATTTACTAGTTGTACAACTTTAGAACAGTCTTTTAGAGCGTTGTCTTTATATTAACAAAATGAAAAGCTCCCGCCCGACGTGTGTGACCCAACACATCTTCTTCTTTGCTACAGTTGATGGTAATTACGGCAACTGGTCATTCAACAGTTCTTGTTCTGTAACTTGTGGTGAAGGTTTTGAAACATGGTCACGAGAATGTAACAATCCTAAATCAAAGTATGATGGAAGGAACTGCAATCATCTAGGAGAACCTGTTGAGTACCGACCGTGTACTAAGAAGCCTTGCGTTGGTAATTATACTATTTCTTTACCGTTAACCTTGGAGTAAAGACCAAGAAATATAAGCCCAAGGCTTTATGTGTACAACTTAACTAATGTAATCGTTCTTATTTCTATTCATGGTGGATAGCTCTATCAGTTTTAAGCTGTTCTATGGGGAAATTGAATCTAGTGTATCATTTTTTTTAATGTTTAATTTCACAGTTAACGGTGGCTACAGTAGCTGGAATTTAAGCAGTCAATGTAACGTTACTTGTGGACAAGGTGAAGAAATATGGCGACGTTCATGTAACAATCCTACTCCGAAGAATGGAGGTCGAAATTGCACTGTGTTGGGAAAGGATGTTGAATATCGAATTTGTAAAAGACCTTGTCCAGGTATGTTTCTTTATGTGTTCTTTTCTTCTTCGTCTTGATCTCTGTGGGGGTTGTCCGCTTTGGTATGTTGATTGCCGTCATATATCCTTAAACACTATCCCTCCATCTCATCATTTCCTCCCTTCTGTTTGTCGTGAAATAAATGTACATGTACATGTTGTATTTAATATATTAAATACAACATGTACTATGGTAACCTTTTTCTTCCTCGTTAATTAACTTGCATGTGTAAGTGAGAGTTTTAACCTTTGAATCGTTTTAGTTGATGGTAACTATAGCAACTGGACTACATTATCAGCATGCAGTGTGACTTGTGGTGTTGGGTACCAGATGTGGTTCCGGACATGTGATAATCCACCTCCCAAATATGGTGGAGAAGACTGTTCCAAATATGGTAAAGACAGAGACAGTAGGCCTTGCCACACGGAGCCTTGTCCAGGTTAGTCATTGAATTGTTTCAGTTGTTTGGGATCATCCATAATCACCAACATTTTCACCAGACCTGAAAAAGATCTCGGGAACACTTGCCTTAGCAAAAAAATTTAAGGAATGTTTTCAATTTTCCACACATATGTTATGGAAGAATCTCAAGGAATCATTTTATTATATTTTCTTCTCTTTCATATGAGATTGTGAAGTGTTGTTTAATGTTAAAATTTTGTGTACTGTCAAATTTTCCGTTCTTTTTGTGCACTTTTGAGGAACATTTGAGAAAGGCAAATTCAAGACCTGAGGAACATTAAACACTTTTTTTTAGGTCTGATATTCACAAGCGTACAAAGAGTTTCTGACCTCGAACTGTAGAACCTCAGAAATGATGATGATGGGCCTCGCGTTTAACATAACATATAGTGTATATTGGTCATTAACCAGCCCCATCACTACCACGACCATCACTACTATCATCGCTACCACCTCCACTGTCATCACCACCACCACTACCATCACTACTATCATCGCTACCACCACCACTGTCATCACCACCACCACTACCATCGCAACAACTACCACCACCATCACAACAACTACCACCACCAACATCACCACCACCATCACAACCACCACCACCACCATCATCATCACCACCACCATCATCACCACCACCATCACCACCACCATCACAACAACTATTTCCATCACCACCACCACCACTACCACCACCACCACCACTACCATCACAACAACTACCACCACCATCACCACCACCATCATCACCACCATCATCACCATCACCACCACCACCACCACCATCATCA